AGAAGAAAATGAAAAGGATGTGCACGGGTGGAATCAGTGAACACACATGGGTGGCTGGTGTTGTTGGGAAAGGGATCTGATCAGTTAAAAAGAAACCACCCTGAGTGTCACGTTTATGGTTGTAAATGAAAATAAGTGAACAATTAGTTTGTTTTGATTTCTAGTTTCAGTTTACTGCTCGGTAAGTTTGTGTGAGGTCTTAGAACTGTAGGATGATCCCCCCCCCTCCCTCCCCGCTGGAGACCGACAGCGTCTTTGATCCACAGGATGGTGCAGAGCTGTGTGAGCGGAGATACCTACAGTATTCACTCAGGCCTGGCCTCAATCGCCTCCTCCTGCACCACATAACACATCTGAACGCTTTCCTGTAAACAGCATTAGCTAGAAAACAGATTGCCATCAGCACCACAAAACTGCTGAGGATCTGATCATGCCTACTGATGCCTTCAACCGCCAAAAGTTCTGCAAAAATTCTGTGGCTTATTGAAAGCTTTCAGGCAAAGTAAACACACTACATACATGTTCTGGTCGCCCTTTTCTAATTAAAAATTAGTTACTTAAACCTTGGAATTTGAACCTTAAAATTCTGGTTTGGTACTGAAAATGTCAGATATGAGGAAAAGAGGAAAGGCTGCAAGTTCTTGCAGGTAGCAGATCTGCTAAGTTATCTATAATTGCAGATATTCGAGTACTGGAGTAACTATAGCATAGACTAAATGTTTGAAAAAACACAATCAAGCAAAAAAGATTTCATCACTGTTTTCATTTTTGCAATCACCGTCTTTGTGTTTTGAAACCAGATGTGATGTATGCATGACTGAGAAACCAACACACTGCGTGCTCATGTGGTAGCAACTAGGTGATTACAAGGCAGACCCAGCCTAAAGCATATCCTCCTTTATACTTGTTGTTTTACCATAATGGGGACCAATTTTCAAAATGAATATAATGGTATATACACTAAAATTGAAACTAGTGATCAGTTTATAAACTTGTCAGGTAAAGTGTTTCCTTACTCACTTATGAAGGAGGCCAAGGACACTTTTCTCATAGACTAGAATTTTTTATGCAACCAGAGGATTCATACTGCTGACCATTACAAAGACAACATATTTAAGACACTTGTATACTGGCTTCACTTTACATAGCAGACCCTACATCCATTGTTTAAATGCAGTCTGTCATCTGCAAGTTTCTATTATCTTGAATCTTTCACAAGAATAACACTGCTGGCATTCCACATTTTTGCTGTTGCCATGAACTCAAATAATTCTAAAGGCTAAAAGCAAGAAGTATTAACACTTTCTCAATACTTCACAAGGGAAACTTTAAGATGAGTCATATTTCCTTTTTCTCAACAACTTTCTTCAACAGATACAGACTGCAATTTACTTTGCCCTGACAGATTAGTGAGGGCAAAGTGAAAAGGATATGACACACACACACACACACACACACACACACACACACACACACACACACACACACACAAAAACACACACACACACACGCTGAATTTTCCAGAGTTTCTACAAAAAGGCGGAATGACGAGAGGGGGAAAAAACATCCTTCTGATTCAGCAGTTCTGCTGCAGTCACTTTGCAATGCCCTGCATGTGCAAAACCACTCCGGCTTAAGCAAGTGCATTATCATCTCAGTTTAAGAAGCATGAAGAAAAAAAAAAATTAAATGCCTCGGCTTAACCAAAGCTGACGTTGCATTCTCAAGGAGACGAAGGAGAAGTGGGTTTGTTCAAAGGCAAGAGCTGAGCATAAACAACAGAAAGTGTCTCCTGCGGCTCGTTTGTAAGTATCAAATTAATACAGGCAAAACAGTAGCGTTCGCTCAGGATAAAGAGCCTGCCCTGTGACGAAGGCTGAATACTGATAAAAAAAATAAAAAGAGGAGAAATTACATAAAGGAGGTTGACTACAGTTTATTTCTTATGCAAGCAGTGAGGAAAAAACAAAACAAAAAAAACAGACTTTATGACTTTATGAGTTTTCTTTCTAATATATATATATATATACTAAACACATGCCAACTCAAAAAGCTGTAGCCGATCACTGTGTGCAAGGCCCGACTTCTGCCAGCTACAGCTGAACTACAAATTAAATGGATTTAGCTAAATTTGGATTTAGCTGTCCAAGAAGTTTATGTTCAGTTTTATATGAGTATAATCAAGTATTTATTGCACTCATCAGCAAGTTATCTGTGTATGTTAAACACGGTTAAATGCAGCTTGCTAACCAAGCTTGCTAGTGTTAGCTAATAACATAAATGGTAAATGGCCTGCATTTGTATAGCGCTTTACTTAGTCCCTAAGGACCCCAAAGCGCTTTACACTACATTCAGTCATTCACCCATTCACACACACATTCACACACACACATTCACACACTTAGCACTTCACCATCTCATAAACATGGTCACCACCCCAAATAAAACACAGTGGTATCTAAAAACTAATGATGAGGCCTCGAAATGTGTCACATAGTTTGTTAAATCCAACAATAAACATAAGTGACTGCCACTAGACATGAAAAGCTAATACTGTTGTTAATTATGTGCAAAACTTAAAATTTAGATATTCTAAACAAGTTAATCTGTTGCAGTTATAGTAAATATCTGCTGTGTTGAAATGAAAAGCTGAAGGGACAAGTGGTCAGTTGCTGAGTGCTGTCTGAATATTTTAATTCCTACTATTCATTCTGCTGCCTCCAAATGAAATATTCTGAGTGAAGTCTGAAGTGTTTCAGTACAGGGGCACAAAGTCTGTCTATAAGTGAAAGTACTCGCTAGTGCATCGACTCATCACAGTGTTTGATGACCTCGTACCCACCTTTTCTCTGATCTCCAGCGCTCTCTTGCACAGAGGCTCTGCTTCCTTGTACTTCCCTCTCTTCCCATACAGGACAGCCAGGTTATTGAGAGTTGCAGCAACCTGATAGGGATACAAACACATTTATTATCCCACAATGCTCTATTCTTCCTGGCCTCATAGACATGTTCACCCATTTGCACAATGTGTGGAACCGCAAGAGTCTACAACAGCAGAGTGGTGTCATTGGTCTGATGAGTGAGAAATTGACAAGGAATAAGAGGATGTGGGGAAACAGGAAGTGATTATGCTGGGCTGTAATTTGATCCAAATCAGCTGAGTGATGAATCTCCAACATGTGCACACAGGACGAGTGAGGGGAGACTGCAGAGGGGACCTGAGGTGAGCACTGATCTCTGATTCACACCAAGTTCTGGCAGCAATGTGAGCAGAGTGGGAGGAAACGAGAGGAAGGGCAGAGGGTTGAAGTGATGGGAGGAACGGGAGCTTATTCAGGAAGATGGGAGGAAGAGAGGGACAAAACTCCTACAGTTTGAGAACACTTTTTTCTGCTCTTTAAGCCTTAATTTGTCCTCATGTCACAATCTCAAAAATGGTGAAAATATAAAAAAGAACATTTAGAGAACTTTTTTTTTAAAGCAAAGGAGCTACAGATTATATAGTCTGATCACAAACCTGTCGATGATTAACCTAAAGCCTTCAAATCTTACAGACAAATTCACAGTTTCACATCCATGTTTTTTAAATCTTGTGTTTGTATTAAGAGTCATAAAGTCAGACACATACTTACATAATTATTTTAATTATAATTAGATTCAGAAAGCATTACGACACACAGACTTGACGACTAAATTTAGCATTATATCCACAGAAAGCAGAACACTACTGCGATTCAGATCATAGTGCTCATGTCTCCTGAACATCCCTGTCAGACTCAGCCAGATCCATGCCAAAGTAGCAGCGTCAACGGGAATCTCAGGGACTGGACACTTCAGTTGGTGGGGTTTTGACCTCAAAATCAAGGTGTTTGTGTCTCTTTAGAGTCGAAACCACAACTCCGCCTTTTTCAGTTACCTCAGCAGATTGTCGCCTTTCTTTTTAGTGGCAAACCAAGAGCCAGTTTTCATAGTCCAAGTCCACTTTGACCTATGTATGTGTGTCGGTACATGATTTACCCAGAAGTTCACGACTGATTAGGAAAGAGAACATGACCTCAACATATTGTTTGCCCGTCAGGCTAAAGTTAGAAGTGGCTTACAATACCGCACATTGAAAACAGAAAGAAGAGAAAAGAAATTCTATAAAAATTATATGATTAAGAGGAAGAAAAATCACTATACTTAATCACATATCAGGTAATGTGTCAGATTTCGTCTGGGTGATGGATCACTGGGGTGAAAAATAAATAAATTTAAAAAATCACTTTCTTCTTTGGAAAAAAGGGGAAGACGTGGAGAGGGCTAACCTCTGTTTCACACAGTGAAGAGAGACGAAGGTCCGAACAGTGGCGACACAGGCCTGCTGGGGTTAACCTGCTGCATGCGTACAGTCACGTTGACAGAGAGAGGTTAAAGAATCTGAGAACAGGCCGGGGTAAATTATTAATGACACCCACGCTGCTTGTCACAGCCTTGGACAAACACATGCTACGGTATCATTTTAAATGTATGAGGTAGGTTGCTATGCTTTTTGTGAGATATTTGTGTGATATGAAGTAAACAGATGTGCTCTACTATAAATAATATAAAGACTGTAATAAAGTGCCAACCATATTTTCTATGAACCAGAAAAACGGTCTGAAGCTCCACAGTATAGTAGTTAACATATTCACCTAACGCAAAAAAAATCTTGGTTTAAGACTGTGAGGATACACAGCTTCTTGGGTTTCATCAGGAAGGGCCTCCAGGATTTATGGCTGCATGTGCTGAAGGGAAACTCATCAACTGGCCCAGATCACATTAAAGTACTGCAATAGAATAAACTCTATAGTGCTGTTTATATATTTTCCCCCAAATGTCTGCAAAGTTACAAAACCTGAAATCCATAGGGAGTTTTTCTCTCCAACAGAAAGTAATGCTCCTGAACTGCCCACAGTCCTGTGACTCATCTGTCACAATGTAACATTTGCATAATTGTTCCAAGCACCTAGTCTGGCACATACTCAAATTTTTCAGAAGATATTTTTATAGCTAGAGCTAAAGCAGCTTCTCTGAGCTAAGCTAAGTGCAAAGACGAGAGTATTCCTGAATTCTGAAGAACCAAAGACCTAGCAAATTTGTCTTGTTGTTGACAGCAACCACTTACTTGGTGGAGAACTTGATGGTCCTAAGCAGTTTCAGAAATGATAATGCCATTGCATGAAAGCACTGAGCTCTTTCTACAGCAGAGAATGCTACCCTGTGTGGTTTTCCAACCTGTTGGTCCAATTACCTTTCACTCATGGTGCTAAGCTCTCAAAGAAGGGAAATCAATACATCCAACTATACCTACAATACTGTTGATGTGGCCTGAATGTCTTAAGAAATGACTATATTTGTCTTCATGTTTCACCACCGCTGACTGTAAGAACAACCTCCATTTGGAAATAATTCATGCTGTGAAACAGTGCAACACATCTATCCCCATTAATATCAACGGGATTACACTGATACAACAAAGAACATCATTCACCTGTCTAAAGCAAGAAATACAGAGCACAACAGAAGACCTACATGCAATGTATCAACAAATACACTCACAGCTGGATGGTCCCTGCCAAGTGTCTTCTCCCTGATGGCCAGAGCGTCATTCAGCAGGTTGGCGGCCTCCTTATATTTGTTCTGATCCCTGAGAGACCAAAGCAGACAGAGTCAGACTGAAATACAGACACAGAGATGGGCAGAATAACAGACAAGCACACATGAACACAAACATAAACTATGCTGACAAGTTCAACTAATGGGCCACCATCTTCAGTGGTTCCCACAGCCAGTGCACAAGAGTACTGACAACAAGTCAACTCATTGTTTTAGGTAACTAAATCAAAAGCTCAAGCTGATTGTTCAGTGGCTTAGATTTATGTAAATGGAAAAACATGGCAACAATCCTGTGCGACATTTGTCCAGGTTTTAGGCGTCATTCCTTTGCTCCTGTCTAGTTGGGCTGGAAAATTAACTTCCGTTACTGTCCTATAAATCTTTGTCAGGCTACGTTTGGCTTGTTCTGACAAAAGCATCCAGCTCTCATTAAGAAGCCAGTCACACAACACTTAAAGAATCCCTGCCAAAGGTTTCAAGAGACATGTCACAGTGTTGTGAGGGTGACTAAGTGTGCTGTTATTATCTCAATGTTAAAATCTTAGCTTTTTATGATATCTTCCAAACACAAGAATTCATTAAAAGCTGTTTAAGTCTAAGAGGATTTTGGAGTTTATGAAACAATGCAGACTACAAACAAAACTTTTTTTGAGCATGAAATTCATTCATTATATAGACCACCTCGCTTCAGTTAGCAACATGATCTCTTTAAAAACAGGACATCACCGGCTTTCATTAGAAAAAGATAAATACATAAAAATGCATGTGCATATTATTAGATGTTGCAGGAGTTTACCTGTAAACAAGGGCTAAGATATTAAGCATTGTGGCCACATCTGGGTGGTCGTGTCCTGAAGTCTTTTCCAGGTCTTCCAGAGCCTGTTTGCAGAGAGGCACAGCCACCTCATACCTGCCCTGAGACGCATACTGGATCACCAGGTTGTGGAGGGTCCTCAGTCGAGCAGGAATCTCGTATCCTCCCTGCTGAGCAGCAGCTGCTGCAGCGCTGCTGTGGGCTGGCTGGACTACAGACAAAAAATACGAAAGTAAATGAATTATTAATTGGGAAAAACCCATCACTGCACTGTATAGAAAATGATTGTTAAGTACAACCTGGTATTTTGTATCTGACCTATTTAGAGTAATGTGATATACTGTACACAGGGCTGTGAAACGGTATGAAAAAAAAAAGTTGAAAACATTTTCCTCTAGATAGACTTTAAAGTTCTGATGCTGGCCTATAAAGCTCTGAATGGTTTAGGACCAAAATACATCAGTGACCTCCTGACCCAGTATGAACCTTCCAGATCCCTCAGGTCATCTGGATCCGGTCTTTTATCAGTTCCCAGAGTCAGAACCAGACACGGAGAAGCTGCATTCAGCTTTTATGCTCCTTATATCTGGAACAAACTCCCAGAAAGCCTCAGATCAGCTGAAACACTCAGTTTATTTAAATCCAGGTTGAAGACTCACCTACTCTCAGCTGCATTTGAATAAAGCACCAAATCCACACTTTTAAGCTTAAATTTCAAAACTTACATTTAACTACTGATTTTATCTACTGTTCTGATTTTATCTGTTTTGATTTTATATACTGTTTTGTTTGTTTGTTAATTAGTTTGTTTTAATCAATTTTAAATCATGCTTTTTATTTGTTTTTGTTTCTAATGTCTCTGTAAAGCACTTTGAATCACCTTGTTGTTGAATTGTGCTATACAAATAAACTTGCCTTGCCTTGCATTTCCTGATTTCTTATTATTTTACATATTTGTCACACTTTCATGTTTCAGATCAAACTGACTTTATTATAAGGCAAAGATAACACAGTTCAAAAAAACAACAACAAAAAATTGTCCCATCCTGTTAAATCATGAATGAATTATTTTTAACCCTGTTTTTCAGAAAGCTGAATTGAATTTCAGCAACCACACCGAGCCCTGATTACTGCCACACCTGTAATCACTTAACAGAACCTGTGTGACAAAGTTATCTCAAAAAGCAACACGTCACACCACAATCTAAAGAAATACCTGAGAAACAAAGTCACTGACATCTATCAGTTTGAAAAGTATTACAAAGCCCATATTCATCAATAAAACAAAAAAAATCTGAGCAAAAAAGCCATCCATGGGAGAGTTCTGACTCCTGACCAAAAAAACACCACAAAGACTCGTCTCACATTAGCCAAAAAAATATCCTGATGATCCCCAAGACTTGGGGAAAATATCCTGTGGGCTGACGAGACAAAAGGTGAACTTTTTGGAAGGTGCGAGTCCTGTTACATCTGGCATAAAACTAACATCAGTTTGCACCCAAGCTTAAGTGTTCTTTGGTTATGCAGCAGGACAATGATCCAAAACACACTAGCAAGTCCACCTCTAAAGGGCTATATATATTGATATTTATTATTCAAGTTGTGCTGATTCAGTAAAAGGATGTTACAGATGTTACAATCCCTGATAATCCATTGCTTCAAATGAAAAGAAACTCTATTCCAACCAGCTGAGCCGCAAAAGGCTTTGTGAGCTGTTTTGTAAAAATAAACAGTGTCGATCAGACCTCACCAGCCGCTAATAGACACTTCGGCTAGTCACAGAGAGACAGATAACCATTCTCGCATTCACGACCAATTTAGAGTCACCAATTAAACTAACCCCACTCACCCCATGTCTGTAGACTGTGGGAGGAAGCCGAAGTTCCCGGAGAGAACCCACACAGACACGTGGAGATCATGCAAATTCCACACAGAAAGGCCAGATGGCAATTGTGTAATTTTGTGAAACTGCTTTTTCCAGTTCACAACATTACACAATTAGGCAAATTTGATATCCCATCACATGGAATAAAATAAATATTAATCATTCATAAATAGCAATACTGTAACTGCAGTTCATTCATTTCATTAATATGGCTCAGATGGCTGAATCTTTATAACCTGAATGAGTCTGTGACTATGGATGACAGAAGAACAAAGGTTTATTAATAACAGGAGTTTAATAGAAGTTTTCTATAGGAGATGACGTGTGAAAAGAAAGCTGATAGGCTGGTTATGTGACAGTTTTCCTCTAAAATGAAAGAAGTATTTGAAACCAGTGGGTGTCTAAGATGATATAAAAGGGTCAATGCTGACTAGAGCAAACACAAACTGGCTGCCTTTTAACATATGTGCAACACAAACAAGCTTATTCACCCATAAACAATGTCCTCTTTTTCCCCATTACGCACAGCTCAAGTACCAGCTCCTGAGTGCTACATTTTACTGGGCCAGAAGGACATGACTGGAATGTCTCTTGTGATAAATAGTCTGTTTGTCTGTCTTTCTGTCTCTATATGCGAGTGTCTAAGAATGCATGAATGTGTGAGAGGTCAGGAAACCACTTGATGGGGTTTCTTATTAAAGGCAAGCAGTTCTGTATTTACTCTGAAGGAAAGCCAGTAAGGTTTCGAGTAGGAGCCGCCCACTGCAGTAATAACAATGACCACAGAGAAATGTCCGGACACGAAGTGATTCCAGGTGTTCCGAAGTGCTGGCAAACCACAGCCTGCCTCTGCTGCTGTTCACAGGAAAGTAACGCAGTGACAGCAGAACAGAAACGGACAAAAACAGCAGGTATGTAGTCAACTCACACATCTTCACTATGAGTCAACTGATGTCTACAAATAAACGCATCAAATCCTCAAAACTTAGAAACTGGAACCAGCCAACGTCTGAATAATGACCGAAAACACAACTTCATCATCAAAACACGACAAACCCTTGCTGGAAGAAGGAAGCAGAAGCGAGACTCCATCAATGATTGATGAATGATTGAATGATTCTCAGCTACAAGTGAAGCTTGAGCAGTGAATTGTGTTACATGTGGACGTGTTACTGTTGACCCAGTTTGTTGGTATTCTTTACCGATTCTGACTTGGATTTTAAGATTTATTATTCACATGATTTTTGTGCACTTCTGTAAATATGTGGATGATGCTTAGCGCTTTGATTGACAAGGCAGTCATTTTCCATGCTTGTTAAGAGTACTCCCACCCGATTTACATAACCCCTAGCACTGTGTTGGAGAGTACTTGTTACCAAAGGGGGGGAAAAAAGTCACTGTGTCGCACTATGAAAAGTGCAGGATGCTCTATTTTTGGAGCCGGACCTCTGCTTTGCATGATTCTAGTTAAAATCTGCCCCAAACATTCACAAATATGCTGGAATATGTTTCAGGCTGTGACACTCATTTAGTGTCAACGCTAAGTGAGTTAAATGTAAATATTAGCACAGAAAAACATTGCACAAGACCCTGAGTGGTTTAAAAAAGCAGGAATGTCATCACCATTGTCTTCTTCCTGCTGACAGCAATTTACCAAAACCCCACAAGCTTTTCAGGCAGTCTGAATCAGCTTGGAAAGGAAAGACATCTAATCTACTCCAGCACTAACCCAGTATCCACTGAGCTCATGCAGAGCCTCAGGCAGCTCAGTTTCATACAGAGAGAGGATTAATGCCAGTGCAAAAGGCATTCGATGAAGCACTGCGTCTCCACGAGTTCAGTTCTGTCTCAGTCCTTTACCAGCTCACACCTGAAAGACTCTGGTTACTTCTTAAGAGTATTGTCTAGTCTTCATTTGATTCGATACAGTATGGGAGGTCATTTCTTTTCTATAGCAGTTAAAGCTGCTGCTTCTCTAAGCTCCAGTCTTCTGCACATCTGGCACTTCATTTTCTCTTCATTTTAAATGTATATACATTGTCATCAAATGTAGCTACCTGACAGTATTTACTGTAAGCACTGATGTGGGCAGAAGCAGGAATTTGTGTACGTGTGGGTGTGTATACACAACATTTATGTGTTGACATGTGAATGGGTGCAGGTGTACTGCAATAACTGCATGCTCCTTGACCAACTCAATATAGACCCTTTACAGTGTCATTTGTATCTCACCATCTCCAAAGAGAAACACATTATTTAATAATTATGGAGTATTGATCTCAACATACATTTTTATTAAGCTTTATGATGCATACAGTCTGTCTGGTATTACCCTTGTCCTTGTTCTCCAACCAATTTCTCGCTCACAGCTACATGCCATTAAACTCTCCTGTCTCATCATAATTCATTTAATGGTGCTCACAGCAAGTGCTCTATCACCACCCTCCCAAGGGCAATACGCAAAACCACAATAATGAAGTGAGCGATCCATGTAAAGGAAATGCTTTTACTGTAAAAGATTTCATTAAATTAAATAGAATATGAATGCAGCGTAAATATCTGTAGTCTGGCTTAAGCAGTGGATTACAGCAGTTACACAGCACAAGAGGCAAACCGTTTACAGCCCAGTCTGTCAGCAAATTAGACTGGCTGATAAACTGATACCACACGGGATGAGGCAAATGGGGCAATGATGGGGAAAAAATGGAAAATAAAACCTTTGGGAGCAAAAAACTAATGTTTTTCATTCATCTTAAAACTGTCCCTGAAGTGGGGTCTCTTTAACCAGTGTTTTGGAAACTGTGCATTCATCAAATGCATTTTTTGGAGATAATCTCATTAATATTAATAACAATTTTTGAGTCAGTACAGCAATTTAGGCAATATGACATGTAGGGATAGGAGTGGAGAACCAGTTCCTGTCAGTCTAATTTCTTGGAATTGTCACTCTCGTTTATCGGGTCCAATTGCACCCGCACTAGCTGATTTCAGTTCATGTGCAGGAGGAGGAAAATACTGGCTCTGAATCCAGGACAGAAACAGCTGCATAATGCTGCTAACATAACTTCAGCTCTTTGCAAGCATCTGCAGAGGCAGCATGCTAACACTAAGCTTGCCAAGAAGCCAGAGTGATGCTGAAGCTGAGTGAATGCCGACCTCAGCCCAGGTAACAAAGTGATGAGCAGTCAGGCTGTATCCTCCAATTCCACCTGTTCATGTTTCTACAGTAGAATCACAGTGGTGATAATCTTAAAGTCGTTTTGAAGTCATCTTTACTTTGTGTTGTTGGCTTTGTCTTCCACTGAGAGAGGCTTTGTGTAATGCTAAGTATTCTGTGTGTCATTATTAGGATAGAGATTTGTGTTGGTGTGTTGGCTACAGGTTTATATTTTTAAAGGGTAATTACTAAAAGATCCCTTTCAGGTCATTTTACAGAAGAACATGAAAGTGACATAATGAGTAGTACAACAAATTTCTTTCTCCCAGGAGTAATTAAGTAATGTAGTGCATCACTTTTAAGAAAAGTGTTCTTTGTGAAAATTACTTCTTTGAGTCCAACACTGATCACAGTGAAGAGGATAAATACCTCCAACATCCACAAACGTCAGAGTCGCTAAATTCTTATCAATTCCCATTCCTATTTTTTTAACTACCTCTTGACATTTATTTAGTCCAAATAATTAATCTGGAAAATAGCTATCCATCCATCTTCTGCTTATCCAGTTCAGGGTTGCTGAAGCCTATCACTAGCCCC